TGTTACAAGCGTAAAATTTATTTCCTCGACTTGTTATCTGGGATAAATTTACTCGAAATTTAATTTCTCCTGGGAACCATATTAACAGAACATTCCAGGAAGGAAACTCATGAATTTAGTTAAATCCCTCTGTCGAGGGATTACTATATTACTTTTTCCAGTCGTAATAAACAGTCTAATGATATTTTTGGGTCTGTTTTCGACTTTGAACTACGCGCTGATCCGTTTTGTCGGCATTAAAACGCAGAGCAATCGATACGCGATTACTTCATGTTAATAAATATCTCCGATCTCACCCTCTCCCCGACCAAGAACCGATTTTTCAGTTAACAGTATATGTACAAACACAAGTAATAATCTTCTTCGTCAGTAAGCAACTAACGGAAAATTAATATTATTCGACCCGAACTGACTGTAACTTTAACGGAAGAAACTTAGTGCGAAAAACAGTAAAATTTTTTAAAATACTGCTGATCGGTCTCGAGTTTCTCTAGAAGTTTTCCCTCGAGTTTTCCACTGTGTCATACGACGGATGTAACACTTCACCCTTGGGATGAAGCGCCTAAAGTTTATTCCCTAGGAGCGAGGATGGGTAACAATGGTCGACTGAAGCCGTGAGAATAAACAGACGGGCGTTCATAATTGCAATCGAGCGTAAATAACGGACACAATGTACCAACTTTATCGCGCGGCGCGTATTAATGAGTTTGTTTTCAAGCGCGACACTCGCCGGACAACGGTCGGGCAAAGAGATTCGACTCTTTCTTTTATTATTGTTTTGTGCGACGTTCGTTACGCACACAGGAATTTATGCACGGTCGTTTCACCGGCACGAAGTTGCCGATGAAGCTCTGCTGTTTTCCCTCGCCCACGGCCCTTTACGAAAAATGAAGCTGTGACTCATACAGAGATCAGCATAACCACTGTGTGTATGTGTGTGTGTGCGTTTGCGTGTGCGTGCGCATGTGCATGTGCATATATGACGTGACCACGTGCGTGGTTCCGAGAACTATCAATCCGCCGCGAGTCCACTCGCGGTCGCGGCAAGCAACAAAGAGCGCGATGATATCTGTACCTCGAAACATAAACGGGGGGGGGGGGGGACGTAACGCGCGCTTCATATGCAATGGTTCTAGACACTTCACAAGATGCGAAAATAATACTTACTTCGCGCGGAACGTACACAGCGGCTTGCGCGCAAGTACAATCGTACATTACTTTGTCATAGACTCCAATTAATTTTAATTGTATTATATGTATAGTAATGGCATAAAAATGCAAATTTATGAGGGTTACGTTTCTAGTTGTATTTTTAATATTCATAAGGCGATAGGTATTTTTACTAAACACGTAATGAATATATACGGTATATCGTGAATGTACTATATATGAAAAGCTGGAAACTTGTGCACGAGGGGTAAACCGCTGACCAAAATCATGTACACCAATGCCTAGTAATGCCCAGTAGGCGTTATTTTTATCTTATTTATCTTGATTTATTTTATTTTACATCTTTACAATCCCCCAGCAAGGTTTGATGCCTAAACTAATACCCAAAAAATGCCTAGTTGTGCCTAGTAATGCCCAGTAATGCCGCAAATCTGTAACACCACAATGCCCTCAACGGTTTACCCCTCGCTTGTGCATAATAAATGACGATGGAATTAAAGTATAGAAGACGATAATGAACTAAAGATACAGATAAAAGGAAAAAGGGAGAAAGCGTGACATTATGTATGTATATGATCGCTTTGCAATCACCTTGCTAGCCTGGAAATCCAGTTATTCGGTCCGGCGAGCGAGCAAGAGGGGTCTCTAGACATTGACAACGCGCAGAGAGCGACCCGTGGCAGTACCGCCTCGGGAGAGCTAATCGTGACGAAAATAACTCTGGCAGGAGAATATTACGGCACTTTGCGATGAGGAGAGACAGATAGAAAGAACGAGTGAGACGGAACGAGAGAGGGAGTATAGATTGCAAGGGGGTGAACGGGCGGTACGAATGGAAGAAGAATACGCACGAGGAGACTCGCGGAGAGGAGCGAGACGCAAGATATACGTATAGCCGAGGCGCGTGTAATATGTAGCGGTTTGTTTATATTTCGGAGTACACCATGTATACCTGGAGTGTACTCTTGGGAATATCTGACTGGGAAAACTCGGAGATCTCAATTGAGAAGACACGAGCCTAGGGGAAAACCGCTGACCAAAATCTTATACACCAATGCCCAGTAATGCCCAGTGCAGGCAATACTCTATCATATTATCTTATTTTATCTAAGTTTATCTTATTTTATCTTTATAATGCCCCAGCAAGGCCTAATGCCCAAACTAATGCCGAAAACATGCTTAGCAATGTCTATTAATGCCCAGTAATGCCGCAAATCTGTACACCGCAATGCCCTCAGCGGTTTCCCCCTCGATGTCATTACTATATAATTACATTCTAATTATATGTATAAGATGCATACAGGTATATATTTACTTTTGTCTATTCAGAACCATTGTTATATGTGCACCAATCGAGGGGGAAACCGCTGAGGGCATTGTGGTGTACAGATTTGCGGCATTACCGGGCATTACTAGGGCATTTTTGGGGCATTACGTCTTGCTGAGGCATTATAAAGATAAAATAAGATAAAATAAGATACAATAAGATAAAATAAGATAAAACAAGATAAGTAAGATAAAAGAAGATAATAAGATAAAGTAATGCCCACTGGGCATTAGTGGGCATTGGTGTACAAGACTTTGGTCAGCGGTTTCCCCCTCGGCACCAATGAAACGGTTGAGATTAATTCCTTTTGTTGTCACCCTCGTCAGCACGTCAGCACGTCATGTCAAAAACCAGGGCAATTGTGTAACTTTTCGTACATTCTAGACGCAGGTGCGTATATAACACGTGTTTTCTCGAGGGATACACCACAATGCCCTCAGCGGTTTATCCCCCGGGTACTGCCTCTAGTTGTCGCGCCGCCGCAGCTTTGATGGTATCTACGTCCTCGAAAAAACAACCCTTAAGCACTAATTTCAGTTTCGGGACTAGAAAGAAGTTGTACGGTGCGAAATCCGGCGAATACAGCGGATGGTCAAGCACGCAAATATAATTTTTCGCTAGAAATTGGCGTGCAATGATGGCATTGTGCGATGGTGCATTGTCGTGCAACAAACACCAACTATCTAGATCTTTGTATTCTGGCTGAACACGTTGAATTCTTGCAACCAAACGCCGTAGAACTTGAACTTTGAATGCTCCCGTTACTGTTTGGTCCAAGGCGTAAACCGCTGACCAAAATCTGGTACAGTATTGTACACCAATGCCCACACGGAAAAAAATGATATGGTGCACATAACCAGAAATATTTAGTTGTAAGCAATATAGCTGCATTATCCTACACGGAAAAAAATGATATGGTGCACATAACCAGAAATATTTAGTTGTAAGCAATATAGCTGCATTATCCTAGTTATCTTTATGCAATGATTATATGTATGATTGATATGACTTTGTTACTTAGTTGTATCAACTACATCAATGTAGTTGTACATGATCTGGTTGTGACAACCAGACTTTGGTTGGAGCATTATTTACTGTGGATATGATAATCTATCCACATTGTTGCGTCAATCAGGATACGATTGCAAAGGTTAAGGCAACCAGGTATCGTCACTGCTGCAACAATGTCATTTAACAATTGCTCTGTGGTTATAAAAACCACATAATTAGTTGTTCCATATTTTACTATTTAATCTGGTTGACACAACCAGAATTCTGTTTGTGACAACTATATTGTTTTTTCCGTGCACTAATGCCCAGTGGGCATTACCTTATCTTATTATCTTGTTTTACATTATTTATCTTGTGTTATCTTATTTCATCTTATTTTATCTTCATATTGCCCCGGCAAGACCTAATGCCTCAAAAATACCTATTAATGCCCAGTAATGCCGCAAATCTGTACACCACAATGCCCTCAGCGGTTTCCCCCTCGGTTTGGTCACTTGGGACAAACTCGTGATGCATCAGACCTTTGCTATCTTAGAAGGCGATCAGCATTACTTGAACTTTTTACGGTGTTTGACGTGTTTTCTGGACTTCCAGGAGGTGGCACTTTGGCGCTTTGTATCGGGATAATATTGGAAGCATCCATTGGTAGAAACTACTCGGATAACTCGGGACTTTACTGCATGAATAATGTGTATATCCCGCCCACGCGATATTTATATGTGTCTTGATACCAAGCGCGGTACTGCGCCAGAAGCGGACTTATTGTTAGCCGTTCTCAGCCGCCAAAGTGCGCTACCAAGTAGCGGCCGAGGGCCCCGCGCACGCTCTCGCGGAAGATTTCGATATTTATTTCCCGTTTCTTCCCCCAATAACTCCAATTGAAAGAATCTCGCGCGATAAGATAAATCGAGTGCGCATTTCCGATATTGAAATAGGAACGGTCCGCGCGTTTATCGTTCGGCGCGAGTCGCACGAAGCGGGTTGAAAGAGCCGTCGTACCGCGAGAACCTTACTGGCTCGCCGTAGGCGAGCCATGGGTCAGTCGCGGATGTTCGTTCCCGTTGCGGCAGCCGTTCCGATCGTCGAGGGTCGAATTATGGAGACGAGGTATACGGCATCGCCGACGCGCCCGTGGAACGCGCCGCCGAGTGACACGCGAGGGAATATTCTTCGCGAGAGTTTCCGCATATCGGCGACTGGCGTTCGTCCAATCTACGACGGTCGTTCGCGTTTCTGCGCGCGCAGAAGCGCGCCTCGACGCGAACAACTTCTCTCGCGTTTGTGCAATACGCAGGCGGCTGGTTCTCCGCGCGTCGCTTCGAACTCGCGGAACTCGCGTGATCCGACGAGAAAGAGAAGGCGTGTAGCACAAGGAGCGGGAGAAAGAGAGGGAAAAAGAGAGAGAGAGAGAGAGAGAGAGAGAGAGAGAGCAGTGACGACGAAAAATGTGGCGCAAAAGAGGGGGAGGGGGAGGCTCGCGATATTCGCTTACCTGCGACTCGTGGCGGTGTCCAGCATGGTAATCCAGTCCCGCGTGGATGAACGGGGCGGGCGGGGAGAGGGCTACCTCAACATCCCCGAGTATCACAAAGTTTCCTTGTCGGTTTCTCGCGAAAAGCCCAGAAACTTACGGACGCGGCACTGTTCCGGCACGGGGGAAGAGGGGAAGGGGGGGGGGAGAGGTTACCACAAAACCGCGGACCGCGCGACCAGCGCGGCAGCAGCAGAACGGAGCCCGACGATCGAGAGACGGGGAAAAAAATAAAATCACACCACTATGACCGCCGTATAATCCGCGGGCGCGCGAAGCAGCCAGCACGAAGAGAGACGCGCGGGCTAAGTGCGAAAGGGTAAGGGGAGAGTGTGAACTAGGAGGGTCGGGGAAGGGAAAGCGCGAATACCTTCCTCGCGCCTCTTCCGTTTTCCGGACCCGCGGGATCCTCGGGAAAGTGCAAAGCGGCTGGCGAACCGTTTAAACCGAACGCGGTGGATTGGACCAGCAATAACCAACAAAGTGCCAATAATCGTTGGCCGCCACCGTTTCCTCCTTAAGTTCACCTTAAATTTGCCGTGCCGCCGCACTCTTTCTCTCTCTCGCCACGATTGAGCTCGACTTGGTCGCTCGCGTACTCGACATACGAATCACTCCCGCACAACACCACGATATGTGAGCAAGGCCCGCAATATACTAAGCGAACACATGATTCCAACATTCCGACGGGGCCTGGTGCCAGTGATAACGCTCGCCGCGTAGAGGGCACCACCGCGACGGTATCGTGGATCGGTGTCGCGATCGCCGAGCGCGCGACGAACTTCGGAAAACGATTCGTCGTGATCGCGATCGATCACGATCGATTAAAGGAGATCCAATAAACGACCGTTTACACCGAAAGAGACCTAAGAATTGATCGAAATCGTATTTAGTCCACGTTGCTATTAGACACGGGTCGGGTTGCCTACCGGGTGTACAGCGCGCGACCTAAAAAAATTTAAGCCCGATTTCGCGGGGAGCGTGATTTGATTTTCTACTTTATTAATGGCTGAATAATATTTATTATTTATTATGAACAGAAGTAGCGGTATTAGTAGCGTTACAACAATGTAATAAACGAATAGAGTCCCTTACAGAAATGTAATACTAAGAACAAAAAAGTATTGAAATAATTATCAGAAAATTTCTGTACAATTCCCACATATCACGTAATATTACAGTAATATTACATTTCCAATGTAATATTACATGTAATATTGAATATGCAATCGGATGCGTATAATAAGATAGAAGTTGTTATGCGTTTGTTTTTACTTCAAATTTATTTAAAATTTTTGTAAATTTGATTTACTTTTAAGAGATCATTTAAAAATTTAAATATTCGGGATATTTTTTATCCCAAACATGCAATACGTATATATTTTACATTGCAAGAATTTCATGTTATTGTATCCATACCGAATATTTCATATGTAACGTCGAGAAAAATATTGTATTGTACAGATATTATATTATTGGGCGGACACTTTAATATTACTATGATATATTAGTAATATGTATATTATAGTAATATTTCCGACATATTTTATTGTAATATTGGAAATATATTACAATAAAATATATCGGAAATATTACTATAATATATTACTAATATAATTTAATTATAATTTAATTAATTATTACTAATATATCATAGTAATATTAAAGTGTCCACCCAATAATATAATATCTGTACAATACAATATTTTTCTCGACGTTACATATGAAATATTCGGTATGGATACAATAACATGAAATTCTTGCAATGTAAAATATATACGTATTGCATGTTTGGGATAAAAAATATCCCGAATGTGTGAATTTATGAATGATCTCTTAAAAGTAAATCAAATTTATAAAAATTTTAAATAAATTTGAAGTAAAAACTTAACAAACGCATAACAACTTCCATCTTATTATACGCATCCGATTGCATATTCAATATTACATTTTTCTAATTTCTACAACTAATGTTGTACAATTTGAAATAAATACAATAAAATTACAACGTAAAGTTTCTAACTATTATTTTTAGTGAAATTTAATACATTTTATTAAAAATATATCAACTTATAGTTGAGTTTTATATTAAAAAGAACGGCAAATATAATTATATTTAATAACAATGGAGTTATAATTTTATCTATCTTTTTAATTATAGAATTATGTCACCCTGTCCCTGCCTACCCGAATCCCTACCTATCCGCATTCCGCTGTATAGTCTTCTAAATTTTTCTACGTACTCGCGTTTCAACTTTTTCTTAATAAACCTACAAGTCTTTTTTTAAAACCGCGACGCGATTTATACCACAACACAAGAGCTTGTAACAACATTGCCGCAAGATTGCAACATTGTATCTTGCAGTGTAATGGTACATAGATATTGCAGAGACATTATTTTACAATATTACTTCAGTAATGTTGTAGCAATATTATTTTAAAATATTGATACAATTATGTGTGTAATATGTATATCGTTTCCTCATATCACTTTTATAGTTTACTAGAAATGACAAAACGCGCGTTTCTCGCGCGCAGTTTGTAGTTCAGCATTGTATATTTTTAAGAATTTGTATACATGCAAAGAGAAGTAATTGCATGCGCAACGTCAATTTAAAATAAAAAGTAATTTTTCACTCACTGATACGACTCGCAACAGCACAGTTGTAAATCGTCAACTAGGTATATGTATATGTTAAACTGTAACAATACAAATATGCATATGATTACAGACTAATCATGTAAAATTGAAATTATTGTATCAAATATACTTTATATTTTATATTTAAAAAAAGGCATTTATTAAAATAATTATATAGAGAGAATGCTGAATTCTCGTTCGAATCATTTGACTAAATAAAAAAACAGAACAGATGCTTTATTTTGTACAAGTAGCAAACAAATAAAAATGTAAGACACTTACCTTACGATTTCTCCGCCGTTGCCCGATGCCTCCTCGGCCTCCTCCTCCTCCTTTCAGATTTCCTTGTTGCACTTACACAACACTCACTCGCGAAAATCATCGATCGCGCGAAATTTCCAGCACTCCCGTACGCGATGTGAAATACCGCGAAACACACGAAATGCCATTAACAAATAGGTATCGCGTGACTTTCTATCATACAAATTACTCAAATTAACAACTTGCATTTTTGATTCGGAAGAATGGATAAATCACTTTTGAATTGGCGATATAAAAGGTAACACAAACATCGGAAGCATAATCTGCGGTAAAGAAGTGGTTAATAGTCCGTAACGAAGCGATATTTTACAACCTTTGTCATTTAATCTAATCCTTGAAACGAAATCGATAGATAATTAAAAGCGCGGTGCGTAAACGAGATGTAACCGCGACAAAATACCACGGTTTACATTTATAATTTAGATGAGTTAGTCTCGTGAAATATCTATACGTTGATAAAGAGCCGTCGCCTCAACATGCAATTCGTTTCTCATTACAAGTTGTAGAAACTTAATAATTAATCGTGGAACGTTAATTGTTACTAATAAAGGTGTGCAAATCAATAGTGTTTTATCCCTGAATTCATCGTGATCGAGTCTTGGAAACCGATAACGCAAAAGTAATGCTACGCACGGAGCGACTCTCGCCACTGCTTGCCGGCACGACGTTCGGCGAGCGAGTGAGACCGGCGACCTTCAGGTAAACGTTGGCCCGCGTAACGTCGTACGATACCGCGCCGAGTGAAAAACAACAAAAAAAAAGAAACGTTGAGAATTCCTTGTCCCGTCTGCGAAATTGGAAATGCTATACTTAATATTTTACATTACTTTGTTCTGTGTTACTGTTACTACGTTTTGCGTATCAATCCGCGGACTTATTGGCATTGATTAAATTAACGATTATTTCTGTTCAATCGAGAAAATGTTTCGAAACGGAAATCGTTGTTACTTAAATTCTAATTACTAAGATTAGAGATTTTACCTCAATAATTGATGCATACAAATGTATATTACTAAATTGCATATCTTCATTTACTATGAATCTAAAAGAGAAGTGAAGCACACCGCGAGAAAACATATATTATACGCGCGCGATTTAATAGGGATTTAATAGGGGTCTTTTTAATCTCGCACATATGCGAGAATATGTAAGGAAGATAAAGATATAACCCACCCGAATTTTAACAAATAGGACGAAATTAACTTATTTCGTACATCACCTAACGTACATACCCCATCAAAGTGGCCAGTATTGACCACTTACCGCGTCGTCGGGCCAGATTGGATCTACCTTTCGTCGCTTCTGGCCATACAGTCTGGTCATTTTGACCGGAAATCAGGAACGAAGAAAACTCCTTCCATAGCCGGTTTATTATCGTCACATATTTCGTACGGTTCGAACTGTATACGAGCGTCGATCATATCGAAATGCACGACCACGAGAAGTTGATTAAAGAAGTGAATTAATTTTAAAAATTTGCTGCATAAAACTAATCAAATATATTTTTACCTCCGTGATTTATTCAAGAATAGATAATGACTGTCTCGTAGTGACTCAATCTTTGAATTCGAAATTCAAGTTTATATGTATTTAGAAAAAAAAAACAATTTACTTCGCGTTATATTCATTTTAATTACATTCCGCGATAAATTAAAATTTATAATATGGATGAAAGTAAACATTTAATAACTTGTTAAAAATTTTCCGAAGAACTGATCGCGAAGACCGACCGCGAAAATACGAAGATGCGTGTAACTATGCATGTATTCATGCGAGTGTAATTGAGACGGGAAACTAATAGTCAACCCAACTAATAGTAATAGTAATGTAATATTGCGATGTATTATATAAATGTATTATATCAGTAAATGCAATAACTAATATTACTGACATATTATGTAATATTATGTGCTATGTGGGTTACTGATTTTCTAGTAATTATTTCAGTGCTTTCTTAGAGGGGGGGGGTCCCAGTATTACAGTTCTGTAAGGGGTACAAAATGTCTAGCCATTATGAACATTCTAAGGGCTTTATTCGCCAACCTCGGTTAGATTAACTGACGGTTAAAATTTTCA